CCTTTAGGCATTTTCAAGATGTGTCTTTCATATAATAATAATGTCTTTATTATTTTTTTTTATCCTCACCTGAGGATATGTTTCCATTGATTTTTAGAGACTGTGGAAGAGAAACGGAAAGACAGAGAGAAACATCAAAGTGAGAGGAACACTTTGATTGGTTGCCTCCTGCATGAGCCCTGACTTGGGCCCCGGCCAGGGAGGAGCCTGCAACCTAGGTACATGCCCTTGGTCAGAATTGAACTCAGACCCTGCCATCGGCAGGCCAAGGCATTATCCACTGAGCCAAACTGGCTAGGGCAAGATATGACATTTCTTAGCCCTCCAGCAGCGGACCTTGCTTTTTTTCACCAGGAGTGTGGTGAAAAACCCTAGATCACCTTTTTGGATTCTTATTACCCAAGTTACTAAGAATATTACCAGTGGCATACAGGGAGCTTAACCAATGAGCGGTCAGAAAAGGTGTTTCCTCTGTAGTTCACACCAATCGCCAGCTTGCCCCCCCCTCAGGCCTGACGCCTCTGGCCCAGGCTTCAGGCCTGGGCAGGGGACCCCCATCTCCCCCCGATCACCGGCTCCGCCCTCACCCAGGCCTGACGCCTTGGCCAGAGGTGTCGACCCCCATCACCCTCTGATCGCCAGATCGGCCCCTTGCCCAGGCCTGACGCCTCTGCCAGAGGCGTCAGGCCTAGGCAGGGGACCCCCAGACCCCTCCAATTGCCGACTCCGCCCCCCACCCAGGCCTGACGCCTCTGGCCCAGGCTTCAGGCCTGGGCAGGGGACCCCCATCTCCCCCCCATCACCGGCTCCGCCCCCCGCCCAGGCCTGATGCCTCTGGCCCAGGCATCAGGCCTGGGCAGGGGACCCCCAGACCCCTCCGATTGCCGGCTCCGCCCCCCTCCGAGGCCTGACGCCTCAGCCAGAGGTGTCGACCTCCATCACCCTCCGATCGCCAGATCGGCCCCTTGCCCAGGCCTGAAGCACCGCCAGAGGTGTCAGGCCTGGGCAGGGGACCCCCATCTCCCCCCGATCACCGGCTTCTGGGGCCAGCCTGCGGCCCGGGATGGCGGCTCGCACTGGTGGCTGCGCTGTCCCGCCCTGCCTGCAGTATGCAAATTAGCCACCATCTTTGTTGGCAGTTAATTTGCATATCGCACTGATTAGCCAATGGGAGGTGTAGCAAAGGTACGGTCAATTACCATGTTTGTCTATTATTAGATAGGATATGACACAGACAATAGTGTGGTGAAGGCATATTTCACAGTACTAGAACAAATAATCCAAAAATTATATGGAATCACAAAAGACCTCGAATAGCCCCAGAAATCCTGAGAAAGAAGACAACTTTAGAGGTATTGAACTACCTGACATGAAACCATACTACAAGGCTACAGTAATAAGAAACAGTATGGTAGAGGCATAAAAACAGATATATAGATAAAAGGAACAGAATAGTGTGCCTAGAAATAAACCCACACCTATATGGTCAATAATATTTGACAAAGGAGGCAAGAATGTACAACGGGCTAAAGGCAGTTTGTTGAATAAATGGTGTTGGGAAAAGTGGACAAATACCTGCAAAAAGTAAAACTAGGCCACCTTCTCACACTATAAACTTAAAATAAATTCAAGACTTACACGTAAGACTCAAAAACATAAAACTCCCAGAAGAAAACAAGGAAGTCAAATCTTAGGCATTTCTCTTAGCAATATTTTTTCTGATATATCTCCTTCAAGAAAGGGAAACAAAAGAAAAAATAAGCAAATAGGACTACATCAAGCATGTCAAACTCAAAGGCTAACACGGGCCAAATAAACAAGGTTTAAGTTTATGTGGGCCGCAAAAAAACAAAAGCTTCAATTTTCATAGAAACATGTTTATTTCTATAGAGACATGCTGAATAAAAGGACTGAAATAAATGAGTAATCATTAACATAAAATAGAACATTTTAATAAAAATTAATATTTTTTCTTGAATATTAACTTACCAGACAATGAATAACTATACAAATTAATAAGCGTAACACAAATAAACCTATTTTTCTTGTTCTCCGAAAGCGAAATATTTCCTGTTGCGCACATCAAACAAGTCAGTACAAGACTAATGTCGTAACAATGGGCTGCTAAAATATTCGCTGCTAGTATTAGTGGAGAGAAATGGTGTGCCTGCGCGTAAGGCGCTGAATGCAACACGATTATAATAATCAGTCATTAGCGAACGTAGTAGTTCGTTATTAATAATTATGTATAACAGGATGTTGTAAAAATTAAGTTAATAATTTTTATTAAAACGTTTCTTACATACCGTTATATTGACTGGGCTGCAAATATATTTCATTGTGGGCTCATGCAGCCCGCGGGCTGCAAGTCTGACATGCTTGGACTACATCAAAATAAAAAGTTCTTGCAGAGCAACAGAAACCATCAAGAAAAAAAAAAAAAGACAACCTTGAATGGAAGATATTCGCCAATGATAAAGCCAATATGGGGTTAATATCCAAATTTTATAAAGAACTCATACTACTCCACACCAAGGAAAGAATCCAATTAAAAAATGGGTAGAGGAACTGAACAGACACATCTCCAAAGAGGACAGACAGATGGCAATACACATATGAAAAGATGGTCAAAGTCACTAATCATCAAAGAAATGTACATTAAAACCACAAGTTGTTGCCTCACACCCATTAGAATGGCTATCATAAATAAGTTAACATAAAATAACCTAACATAAATAACCTAACATAGTGAGGTTGTGGAGAAAAGGGATCCCTCATGCACTGTTGGTGGGAATGCAGATTGATTCAGCCACTATAGAAAACAGTATGGAGATTTCTGAAAAAATTAAAGATTGAACTAGCTTATAACCCAGTGATTCTACTTGTGGTTATTTACCCAAAGAAACCCAAAACACTAATTCAAAAAAAATATATGCATCCCTATGTTCATTGCAGTGTTACTTTCAATATGGAAGATATGAAAACCACCCACATGCTCATCAATAGTCTAGTGCAGTGATGGCAAACCTTTTGAGCTCGGCATGTCAGCATTTTGAAAAACCCTAACTTAACTCTGGTGCTGTGTCACATATAGAAATTTTTTTATATTTGCCACCATAGTAAAACAAAGATTTACATTTTTGATATTTATTTTATATATTTAAATGCCATTTAACAAAGAAAAATCAACCAAAAAAATGAGTTCCCGTGTCACCTCTGACACACGTGTCATAGGTTCACCATCACTGGTCTAGTGGATAAAAAAGCTGTGGTGCATGACCGCTGGTGTTGCTCAGCGGTTGAGAGCTGATGTATGAACTAGGAGGTCACTGTTTGATTGCAGGTCAGGGCACAAGCCCGGAGTTGCAGGCTTGATCCCCAGTGTAGGGTGTGCAGGAGGCAGCTGATCAATGATTCTCATCATTGATGTTTCTGTCTCTCTCTCACCCTCTCCCTTCCTCTCTGAAATCAATAAAAATATATGAAAAAATAAGAAAAGAAAAGCTGTGGTGCATATATATATATATATATATATATAATGAAATATTACTGGGCCATAAAAAAGAATGAAAAAAAAGAATGAAATCCTACCATTTGCAATAGCATGAATGGATATATTATAGAGGGTATTATGCACAGTGAAATAAGTCAATGAGAGAAAGACAGATACCATATGATTTCACTTATATATGGAATCTAAAGAACAAAATAAAGGAAGAAACAAAACTGAAACAGTCTCATAGACACAGAGATCGAACTGGTGTTTTCTAGAGGGGAGGGGGATTGGGGGACTGGGTTAAAGAAGTGAAGGGGCCAAAACCGGTTTGGCTCAGTGGATAGAGCGTCGGCCTGCGGACTAAAAGGTCCCGGGTTCGATTCCGGTCAAGGGCATGTACCTGGGTTGCGGGCACATCCCCCGTGGGAGATGTGCAGGAGGCAGCTGGTCGATGTTTCTCTCCCATCGATGATTCTAACTATCTATCTCTCTCCCTTCCTCTCTGTAAAAAATCAATAAAATATATTTAAAAAAAAAAAAAAAAGAAGTGAAGGGGTCGGGGGGGCAATGGGGGGATAACCACACATTTGTAATACCTTAATCAATAAAATAAATAAATAAATAAATAAATAAATAAAAATAAGTAAATAAATTTTAAAAAAGTGAAAGAGTTAAGAAGTACAAATTGTTAGTTACAGAATAGTCACGGGATGTAAAGTACAGCATAGGGAATATAGTCAATAATATTTCGATGACTATGTATGGTGCCAGGTGGGTACTGGAAATATCAGGATGAACAATTTTTAATGTATATGATTGTCTAATCAGGTGTATGCTGTATACCTGATATCAATACAAAATAATACTAAAAGTAAACTTCAATTGAAAAAATATAATATACATTTTAAAAAGGCTCCTATAAAGTTAAAGGAAAGATGATAATAATGATAGCCTCCTTGTTAAAATGTCTTAATTCTACAGAAGTACAATATATTTTTATAATACGTGATTTCATAATTAGATTTGGCAACTCTGATTTTAAAACATGCAAACAAGAACATGGGCAAAGTGCCCTAGCCGGTTTGGTTCAGTGCATAGAGCGAAGGCCTGCAGACCGAAGAGTCCCGGGTTTGATCCCAATCAAGGGCATGTACCTTTGTTGCAGGCTCCTCTCTGGGCTGGGCCCTGGTCGGCTCATGCAGGAGGCAACCAATGAATGTGTTTCTCTCACAATGGTATTTCTCTCTGTTTTTCCCTCTCTTTTCCACTCTCTCTAAAAAATCAATGGAAAAATATCCTCTAGTGGGGATT